AAACTACTACCGCTCCACCATCTAGAGCCTTCTGACCTACTGCTGTACACGCTGGTTTAACTGCTGTACTGTGGGGGACAAGAGGAAACTGCAGCGGCCGGCGGGTGGTGAGGGCAGCAGAGCAGGCAATTGGCACTTCACTAACCCCCCTCAGGGAAAATTATACTGGCAGATTTCAGTAGAAATCCAGTATCATCATCAAGGACTCCTCGCACCCTGGACACAGTGTTACTGTGCAGATACTTACGTTATTGCGTATTACACACATTCACTGAGTAGGTGCCCTTAAACTTACGCCTATTTATATCTTCTTCTCATATCCTAAAACAATCTCAATGTAAATCTACATGATGCCAACAGAGATAACACAAACTGTGTTTCATCGTCTTGTAACAGTGACAATAAAGATCTATTCTATTGACACTAGCTTAAAGTTTCACCTTTTTGGCAAAGTCTTGCTCAGGAATGCAGACTGGCAGGATGAACCTCGTGAACTTGATAGGTGTAGCCAGTTTGATGAGTGCAATGTCATTATCGTAGGTTTGCTCATTGTAGTTTCTGTGGGCGAGGACTGCTTCCACTTTGTGGTCAACTTCAGTACCTTCATTCACTGACCTGTCAAACTCACCTGAGTGCAGAGAAACAAACAAAACACTTTAATTACAACAGTCAAAACAAAAATGAATACATATATGACACCTACAAATCTGTGGTCACATCTGTAATCTGTTTTTCCGAATTTACTGATGTAATAGGACTTGTTTTATTGCAGTCTGGCACTGATTTTTAGTTGGGGCTATGGAGCTGTTATTGCATGATTTTGCCAGAAGGGGGACGTAGCATTGAGTGCGATAGGCTGCTGCAATGCTCCCATACTTCAGACAAGGAAAATTCTCCAGACAGAAAAGCCGATATCATAAAGCATGTAATAGACGCGCCAGTCCATCGTGTCCAGCCTGGTTCTGCCAGAAGTTTCTTCCTGTTAAAAGGGAGTTTTTCCTTCTCAGTGTCGCCAAAGTGCTTGCTCAGGGGGTCATATGATTGTTGGGTTTTTCTATGTATGCATTATTGTAGGGTCTGCCTTACAATATAAAGCGTCTTGAGGTGACTGTTGTTGTGATTTGGCGCTGCATAAATAAACTTGAATTGAATTGGACCTGTGCCAAAGAAATTACAGAAAATATTTATATAAAAGATTTATAAATTCTTATTAGGCAGACAGTCATCATTAAAATAAAACTTAAGCAGGTATTTTTGAATCTGAATGTGATGACCTAGAATTGTATGTGAAGGTTTGTAATTGGCTCATCAGACCTACCGAGCCTGACGTTGAAGTCATCTGACTGGTTTACACAGCTGGCAGCTGTCAGGATGATGTTTTCATTGAGTATTGTTCCTCCACAAAGAACTATTTCATTTTCATTGAAAAGGAGGGCCTAAGATATGAAAACAAACCATGCAAAAATGAGACTGTTAAACCTGTCCAGAGTTGGAAGATGTGTGAGGATGACAAGCAATTCTATGAACTCTGTTAAAAAACAAAAAACTCACTTGAGAGTGATAGTCTGTATCTGATCAATGTTTTTAATGCAGCTTCATGTTGTGGGTATGTTCATGTGTGTCTCTACCTGCCATGGACATTCTCCTGGTGGGCAATACCCTGACTGGCGATATGACTCATCTTCTATCTCAGACTCAATCAGACTTTCCAAAGTTGTCCAGGTCTTTGCTGGAATTTGGGTTCTGTTTTCAGCCACTAAATCGGACATTAAATCAGCATCCTGGATCGGCTCTGTGGAGTTTACACTGGTGTTAAGTGCAGTTATATTCCCCTCCATTGTTTTTGTCTGATGGTCCCTCAAAACTGTCTGCAGCCCTTTGGGGAGGATGAAACCACATCTGATGGTCTCTGCAAGAGTTTTATATAAATTAGACGTTGGATTTTGTCACCAGAAAGTTTAGTTTCACTTTTTATAGTTTCTAATGTCTGATCTGTGATGTATTTCACTGCTCTGCTATCAGAGTAAAAGACCAGGTAGATTCTTAAGACTCTCACCATTGAAATGGCAGGATTTTTTATCAGATGCCAGGAAGTACCCATCAGCACAGGAGCACTGAACACTTCCCTGGATCACATTGCAGAAATGTTCACAGCCGCCATTTTTGTTCTTACAGAGCTGAGGAAGAACTGCAAATACACAGACACTGTTAGGATTCTGCACTCCTCCTTGTGTGTGGCAGTTAAAGTGTTAACAATTCAGAGAGACTGTAGTTATGCTTAGCATCTGAACAAGCACCACATCACCAGTATCCCAGCTAGGATTAATCCTAGATACATATCTCTTTTCATGTACAATTTTCACCTATTTGAAAAACGTTACTGTGATTTCTGTCCAGTTTTGAAGACAGTTGGAGAAACTATACCAGAGCAAGGCTCTAGGCCCAGATAACATCAGCCCCAGTATTCTGAGGACCTGTGGTAGCTAAGTGTGTTACCGAGTCAAATTTATAACCTGAGACTGAAGCAGCAGGAAACAAATCCCATGTGATTCCTGTACTGAAGGAGCTTGTACTCTTTGTTATTGTGGGTCCTTTACCTTACAATATAAAGTGCATTGAGGCAACTGATGTTGCTATTTGGTACTATATGAATTGAAAGAAAAAAAGAAAAATTGGTACTGTCAGAGCTATCATGAAGGTAAGACTAGTCTAAACATCTGTTGACCCTCTGCAGTTTGTATACAGATCCAGTCAGATTGTCTGTCTGGTTGACGCTATCTACGCAAGTATTAATTGTATAAATGATGACTGTTACATGCGTATATTTGTTGTTTAAAATCCACGTTTTATAATTTAGTAATTAAATTACTTGGAACAAACAAAACTCTGGAGTTTACCACTTGGAAAGCCTATCGTTTTAGTTTAGTTTTAGGTTTGTTTTTCTTCATTTCTTTTCATTTGGCTTCTTATTTTTCTTTTCATTAATTAAGCAGATGTAGCTGAACATATAGTAGCTAATGTGAAATAAAACTCACCAGAGTAAACAGCCCAGAAGGTTTTCTACACACAAAAAAACAACAGTTAGAATTCAGGAGTCATTAAACAGGACTCTTTATTGTTTTTTCTGGGGGTTTTTCTAACATTTAAATGTAAAAAAAAAAAAAACTAATCTAATAACAAACATAAAAGCTCAGACTTGAGTCTGCAACTGAATTTCTAACTGTGTATCACGCACTCTAGTGGAATCTAAGAATGAAAATGCAGGTGTAGAAATGAGCTGAGTAGCTCCTTTTTAAATTTAACCAACTGTCTTCTGGGTGTCTTCAAAGTACTCGCGAGCCTCTTCAAAGTCGCACTGTTCCTCGTAGCACTCCCGCTCCAGGTTCCCCTGTCTGAACTCTTCCATAAATGTATTGGCCCGTTTGGGCCGCAGGAACATGGTGTTGGCCTCGGGAGCTGAACGAAACACTAAAAACACAAAAGTGTGAATTTACAGGTTGTTTCCTGTGGCACATTTAGTCACAACTGGAAGAACTGAGCAACTGAAAAACTGGAGGCTCTGCCATGTTAGGTTAACACATAATGAATAACTAAAACTAACTGAAGTGTTAAAAAGTTAACAGAGGATAAAAAATTAAATAATCAGTCATTTAATTTCTACTGGTGCTTTGACAGCTTTGATTATAGCTGTTATATATTCATTTTTGTCTACAGTACTTTTTCAAAAACCTTAAGCCACGCCTCTGCTTACCCACCAATGGCTCTGTCCTCCACTGCAAGATAACAATCTGCAACTCACCTTGACCTGTGCGGTCCCCAGTCATCCTCCTAGCCTCCCCATGGTATCATACAAACTCTAATAAAAGACTTAAAGCAAACCATTCCCTTTGGTCCAAGTTTGGCTTTTGCTCTTGAGACAGTTTATCAACAGTTGCACTGTTTAGTGGCATGACATGATCTATAGAAAATGCCAAAGATAACACAGTTTGACAGACATAAAATAGTATTATAGCACCAATGAGGTGATTCCCAAACAGCTATTAGCTCTTCAAATGTATTCTTAAAAAATGAAGACTGAACAGTGAAGGCCCAAATAAGATGTGGCACATTTTAAAGAAATTACAAGAAAGCTGCCCAAGAGAGTTCAGACTGTGCTGAAGAATTTTACAATTCATAAAACGTGTGTTTGCACATGTAAATAAATTTGCTTACAAAGTGTAAAGAAATGAGCGGAAGTCTTTTTTGCACATTAGTGTACAAATTCATGAAGTCACTGTTTAAATGTGATTTGAATTAAGAAGATTAGACGTCATGATGTTAATGGATTAATTTATACTTTTAGTATAATTTAAATAAAATTTAATAATTGAATTTAATAACTATTTAATCATTATGTTTAAGGCTGCATTGGAGGTTACAATTTTTGTGTGTAATATTTTACTTAGCCATCCCCATTGTTTGTTTGTTTTTAACCACTAAGTTACTATAGAGATAATGATGCTATTTTGACACTGACTAAATATTGTCTGTTTGTTATAACCTATAACATTGGACACACAGCAATTTTTCTAATTATCACTACTGTAGTAACAGTAGCTGTAGTAACAGCAGGTTTTTATGCCACTTGAATATTTTTGTCAGTCAACTAAGGAACAACAATAACACAGCAACAGGTCAAAGGTCACTCTCTTACCTTTTCCTTGACTGAAGACCTGAAGGAAACATTGAAGAAGGCAGAACAGGAGAAGAGACGCAGACATGATGCTGACCGCCATGACACTGACTGCACTGCTGACACACACACACACGTCTGCACACACACACATACACACTAGTGACTCACAACAGCAGTATAAACCTCAGATATTGTATCATGTTTTTAACAGTCTGTTAAATGGAGTTCATTTATAACTGGCCTGAAATAAAGATGTCAGTCTGGTCCCAGGTTATTTTACTGGTGTGCATTTTTGTGTACATATAAACATCCAGTCCTCATAAAATTATTTGTTTTTTGACATTTTATTCACATGATTCTCTAAAGAGTTAAAAGACCACGCAGTTTCCCGTAAACGCTCTGTTCTTGAAGTGGACTCTGGCCTTTCCTTTAAAAACAAGCAAAACAAGCAGAAGGTCTCCATGTTTGTTTGTTTGAGGTAAACAAGGATAGATTTCATCACTGACATTTTTACATAACATTGAGTTTATCCAGATCAAGTAATAAGATGGTTCTTTAAAACCATTGTGCCACAAATTTTACATTTTCTTGAGCAAAAACACAATTTTGTAAAACAACTTTTTTCCAAACTGTCACTGGAGATTCTTCCACCTTTTGAATTACTATTATAAATACAAGCTATACTTATCATTAAATGACATCAGGCTTCAACATGTTCTTATAGTTTGCTTTTATTTGCTTCATGTTCAGTTTAAAAGCTTGTTTCTATCAGTGACTCATGAAGCATACATGGAACAAAACATTGAATTGCTGAGATTATGAAATGCATTCTGTTTAAAAAAAATGTAATTATACTAAAAAAAAATGTATTCAATCAAATTTCAGAGGATGTATCCTGTTTGAGATAGTATACATCTTTGATGGAAACAATCTCATGAGAAAGACTTACAGAAGAATCAGTGAACCAACCAGAACACGAAACATCTAAAGTGGAAATTAAGACCAAAATCAGAGCCCAGAGGAAATGATGGACTTGAATTGTTCAGAAATATGATGTCAGATGATTGCCCTGGAAAAATAAACATTAATACAAAATTAATGTTACATAAAATAAAATTAAAAATATAAAGGACCAAGAGTAGTACCCTGAGGAACCCCCAAATAATTACTGACTCTAATTCTGTTCGTCACAGGTAGGATTTGCAGCTCTTTGCAGCACTAGGATGAATAGGTTTCTCTGACTGTTCATTAGTGATTACATGAGTGGTGCAAAGTCTGGCCGATCTCTGCTCAGTGACAGATGTTTTACAGATAAAGCCTTGTTATTTGGGCATGGTTCCTCTTCATCCTGCTGCCGGTCTTGTTTTTTTGGATCAGCGTCTTCATACCATCACGGATCCATTGAATGTACTTGGACACCTGGGTGTAAACACCATACTTGCCCTTGCGTGCACAGCCTTCACCCCAGCTCACGACGCCAGTGACAAAGTAGGTGTCACGGTAACGTGTGACATGAGGCCCGCCACTGTCACCTTGGCAGGCATCCTTGGCTATTGTGTCATAACCAGCACAAAACATACGCTGCGAGATACGTAAAGGAGTGGATTCGATGCAGGTTCGACGGTCCACATAAGGTACAGATAGGCGCTGCAAGATGCTGGATGGCTCCCGACCCTCGCCGAGACGTCCAAAACCGCTAACCATGCCATCCGGCTGCTGCATCAGGACCTGACAATAGAGGTAATCCATGTATGATTGTCATATAAACGTCACATAATCAAACAAATTTGGTAAATTCCTTTTTGGTTGTTTTTTCTTTTCTTTATGTTTCTTTCTTTCTTTTTTCTTTCTTTTAAAAAAAAATATGAACTAAAGATTAAGGCTGCATACACAAATGTTTTGCTCAACCAAACCTTTTTATAAGCTTCTCTGTTCAAGTATAAAATCTAGTTGTTTATCAATCGTCTGAAGTAATAGGAAAAAGTTTATTAAGCAAGATAAAACTTTTTGCTTTTACTAATTGCACCGTCACCTCAAAATTAGATTTTCCATTACATTTTGCATTATTGACATCAGGGGATTCTCAGAATTTTAGTGAGAAACAAAATAAAACTCATGTGGCACCAGCAGCAGTATCTGCATCCTCTTTGGCCTCATATGAGAAATCTATTATTAATCTAGGTGTGATGGATTCTCTAAAGCTCAATTCTCATGTGAACAGAGTGGTAAAACCCTGTTTTTTCCAGTTCTAGCTGTGGTTAAAAATTAAGCCTCCTTTGTCCAAACGTAACTTTGCTTTTATAACACCTTGTCTTAATCACCCAGGACTCGTTGCTCACCTACAGCTGATGCAAAATGCTGCAGCTCGCTTTTTATCTGCTGCAAGCAACATTATGTCAGTCCAATTTCACCTTCAGTTCACGGACTTCCAGTTCATTTACAAATCCAAGTCTCTTAATGATTGCACCCCCATTTTATCTATATCAGCTGCTACATCCATCTGTCCCACCTTGTTGTCTACGTCTCTATGCTCTCTTTTATGTTTGGTGTTACAACACTTTGGTCAGGCCTGTTATGTATAAATAAAAGTGATATGTAATGGTATAGTATGATATGATTTTAAAAATTCACCTTTTCAGCAAATTCTTGCTCAGGAATGCAGGCTGGCACAATGAACCTGCTGAATTTGATGGGTGTGGTTAATTTGATGAGTGCAATGTCATTGTGGTAGGTGTCTGCCTTGTACCCTCTGTGGGTGAGGATCGTGTCCACAATATGGTCAGCTTCAGTGCCCTCATTTACCAACCTGTCAAATTCACCTGAGTGCAGAGAAAAAGCAAAGATGTTCAGCGATGTTTTAATGAAAAATCATAGTAATTAAATTTTTTTACAGCATACAAAGCGCTTTGAAAACAGAACACTGTTAATCACGTCCCGATAAGGGACATGGCCTAAAACCTGTGCGTAACCAACAAAAAGTTCTAAACTGCACTATTTCTACCAACTTAAAAAATGCACATAATAACCTCAGCATTGGTAATGTTCTATATTAAAAAATTGTAAGTGATCTTTTTTTTTTTTTTTACAGAAGTTGACAAAAGGGTATATCTGTACCATATCTCATACTTTGAAAAAAATACCCACATTAAAATCTGTTATAAAATTTATCATATTAAATATACAATTGAAAAATATGTCATATGGACCATAAAGTTAAGTTAAAGATCATAAATTAGATTTATTACTTCTTAATAGGCATAAAGACATTATTACCTTAATGTGATGAACTAGAATTATATACGCAGGTTTACAATTGGTTCATCAAACCTACCGAGCCTCACGTTGAAGTAACGTGACTGGTTCATGCAGTGGGCAGCAGTCAGGATGATGTATTGATTGAGTATTGTTCCTCCACAAAACCCAATATTATCTTCATTCACAAGGAGAGCCTATGAGGACAAAAACAGCCACCCACCCCCCCAAAAATGAAAAAAACATTTGAATTGACGATATAAAACCTGTGCAGAGGTCTAAGACATGTGAAAATGAAGTTTAATGCTATGAACTCTTAGGTGTCAGCTGAGTATTGATAATGCCTTCTAGATGTTTACCCTGAGGGAATCATGTGATCGATTGAAGGTGAAAGTATGGGTTAGGGTTACTTTTTACTGAAACAGAAACTGTATCTGGCAGGTAAGTTCTTAAATTATAATCCCAAAACGTTTTGTGAAAGAGTCTCTACCTGCCATGGGCATTGTCCTGGTGGACAGTCCTCCCCGTTGACAATACGAGTCATTTTCGCCATTTCAGACTGAATCATCTTTTCCAAATTAGGATAATGTGCCACGTTTTGGCTTTTGTTCTCAGACACTGAGGACATTGGACCAGCATCCTGGACATAAGGCTGTGTTGTTAAGTTGATGTTGCCGGTGCTGTTAAACTTAGTTATGTTCCCCTCTGTTATGTTTTTCCTCTCATACCAGAAAACAGTCCGAACGGCTTTGCTGCTGATGGCACCACATTTGTACGTTTCTGAAAGAGTTTGTATGGTAATGAGAGGTTGAGTTTTGGGACCAGAAGATTTCAACATTATGGTTTCCAAAGTCTGATCTGTGATCTAGGTGCTCTTTTACTGTTCTGCCATCTGAGTAAAAGACTATTCACATTCTTAAGCCTCTCTCACCGTTGGAGTGGCAGGATTTGTCATCTGATGCCAGGAAGTATCCATCAGCACAGAAGCAATGAATTCTTCTCTGTATCACATCGCAGAAATGTTCACAACCACCATTTTTGTCCTCACAGAGCTGAAGAATAACTGCAAAGACACAGACACAGTTAAGATAGATGGTGCCACTGTTAAAAAAACAAAGTAGGTTTCTGAAAAAACTTTTACATCGTCACAGATGTGCATGGTTTACAATTTGGAATGGTTGAGATTATGCTTAACATCTGAACAATTGCCAAACTGCCAGTATCCTGGTTATATTCATATCTATCCCTTCATACAGAATGTTCATCTACCCAAAGTCTGTGATCCTATGTAAGGGTAGGAACATAGAATGACCATGAAATCGAGAGTTTGGCTTTTATGATCTTCACCAAAATAGAAAAGTATGGCATCCGCATCACTGTTGACGCTGCCTAAATCTGTGTCAGTTTCTCACTCCCCTCACTTGTGAACAAGAAGATACTTGAAATCCTCCACTTAGGGCAGTAACTTATCCCATACCCAGAGTGGGTGTTCCTCCCTTTTTCAGCACCTCCTTTCATCAGCCAGAACACAGAAAAGTTGTTATGGATGGGTCCACAATAACAATGACCCAAAACATGCTGACAATGCAGAAAGTGGCCACAGGAACCCTGCGTCCATGAAACAGCTCGTGTTGTAACAGGGTCTTTGGTTCCTTTTCTTCTGCAGATTTTTACTATTGTTTACCATCCTACCTCAAGAAAGGTCAGGCTATCCCAGGAAAACTAGCGAGAGGAGGCTCAGCCAGCCATGTTTTTGTCCCCACTGCTATCTATACTGAAGTAATATAACCTCCAGAAAGGTTAGAAAACTCCTTCTGAAATGAGCAGTTTTCCCTTTTTGTGGCAATAGTTTTTTTCAGATAAGATACTGAAAATGGATGGGAGCTTTCAAACATTAGCAAAACTTGACCAAAACTTAACCATTACTAACCTTACAGTATATCTACAAGATTGTATTATTGACCAGAATAAGTTAATATGTTTTTCTGAAAGGCAGTAAGTGAAATTTGAAGTTCTTCACCAATTTCACAGTTGAAGCCCTTGTACCCTTCTTGGCAGTAGCAAGCGTAGCTGCCAATTCCATCTTTGCATTGGCCGCCATTAACACAGGGTGATGATATACATGCATCTCCATCTGTGGGACATGAACAGCAGATTGAAGCAAGTGTTTGACTGTAGTGGTCAAAGTACAAGGTTACATTTTAGCAGCTGTCCTCTTTCAGTTGGTAATTGTACATATATTCTAATGTCCTTTCAGGGTATTATTTGTAAAGTTTCAGCATTTCTAAGATTTTAATACAAAAACTTACCAATATACTTGGCCCAGAATTCATCCTGAAAAAACACAAAAGAAAATTAAATTGCTCAAAAGATCTAAAAGCCAGATTTTCCATCACTAAATAATAGTTAATAATGGAAAATACCATAATTTAGACATATGATTCCTAATATTTACAATAATCTTTTCTAATATTTCCTAAAATTTTGTAATGTTTGAGTGCAAATTTAAATGTATTAAAATAAAGGTTAATACAGTTTTTTCTTTGTCTTCAAATATCTCTCGCGCCTCTTCCCAGCTACAGCGCTCCTCCACACATTCTCTTTCCATGTTGCCTTTTTTCCACTCCTCAAAAATGCTGTTAGCTCGTATCCTTCGATTCAGCACTTGATTGGCCACTTGGCTGTCTAAGAAGACTGAGAAAAAAAATGTAAAACATTAAATTAAACATCGGTATTTAATTTAATGATTTCGTTTTAGTGCATTTTGAAAAAGTCATGAAGCAACACTTGAAGTGCCAGAAACACTTCTTCTAATGTCCACTTGAGGCTGGCTCCTAAAGTGAATGAGTCCCCATAGACACCCATGTTAAAATGTCCATCTTTACAGTTAAAATAACATATTTACAGTCTGATACAAATAACTCCTTTCTATAGCTAATTTTGCCCTTCATAACAGCTGCACACTTCCTTAAGTTTAACATGTTAACATAAAAAAAGACACTGACAGTCTGTTGCAGGGCAAACACAGAGAGACAGACAACCATTCGCACTCACATTCATGTCTATGGGCAGTCCGCCCCTTCTGGAATATTCTTAATGTAATTACCCAACACAGTGGTTCCCAACCTCTTTTTGTTCGGCCCCCCTTTGTTTTACAAAAAAAATGTTCGCGCCCCCCCCTCGCACGCGCACACACAAGCATGCACAAACACATCCTCCAACCACACACACACCCATACTTTGCTCCATTGCGGTTTATTTCACAGCTCAAACATTTAGTAAACAATTAAGCAAATACAAGTAATCTGCAATAAATTGCAGGTAGTAATAAAATAAACTACTCTCTTTTACGCTATGTCCGCAGCTGCACGAGTATTTTTGAAAACGCAGTTGTTTCGTCAACGGCGTTTCAAATCACCGAAAACTGAGATTTTTTTAAAACTCCTTGGAATACAGAGTTCGTTGCAACGTCAAAGGTATGTGCCTTTTTTCACGTCATCCTGTGCGCCACGTTATTGTTTACATGGGATGAATTGCAGAATGACAGATAGAGACAAAATACTGTTAATCTGACTAGGTCTGACCTAACAGATAATATGACTTGCTGTGTCTTAATGGTTCTTATACCATTTCCATTGTCTATTTTCTACGGATTATCTATAGCTGAAGCTATATAGCTATCTATCTAAATAGCTGAAACTCTGGAAACTCTGGAGCACAAAGGCATTCATAGGCATTCATGTACTGTTTCCCAGTAGAACACACCCAGAACACCTCACCCTCAGCTGACTCCTTCTGATGTGGAGGATTACCATCTGTAATTTGAGACCTGCCAAATGACTGAATTTCTTACCCTATGGCTAAGGCTGAGCACAGCCACTCTTTGGAGAAAACTAATTTCTGCAACTGTATTCTGTTGGCCATTACCCAGTGCTAGTGGCCATAGATGAGGTTGGGAAGTAGGCTGCTGGTAAATTGCTCTCTCTCACTGATGGACCAGTGTGGTGCAGGGTCAATGTCTCCTCCCCTCACATGTGACACTCCAACCTTTCATTGCAGAGGACTATGGCTTCAGATGTGGAAGTGCTGATTCTCATACTGTCACGGTTCTGGGTCCGTTGGACCCAGCAATTGAGTTTATTATGTTTTGGTTTACTTTTGCATCATGGATTATTCTTTGTTTCTCTGGTACTTTGTGTTTCAGTTATCTTGGTGTTTTGGATTGTTTTCTCATTCTCTTGTTGTGATGATGTTTATTATTAGAGTTTCATGTTTCTGTTTATCCATGTTTTAGGAATTGTGGTTTTGTGGAGGTAAGCATCAACGACACAGAGCTCTCAGTTCTCACTCCTTCTTTATTCGCCTCCAACATCAACTGCGCATATCGCGCCACAAAACACAGGAACACACTTCCTATACACTGGGTGTGAGTGGAGCCCTCTAGTGGTCCACCACACATGCCCCCCCGAACACCCAGCAGAACTAGTCCAGGACCCGGGGCTTAAGCAAACGGCCGGAACGGCTGAACTGGGGGGGTGGGGAACTGACAGAGGGCAACCCAGCCCGGGAGCGAGGCTGGCACTGGCGGTCAGAAAAACCTGCAGACGACTCGGACTCCGTTGATTTTGGGTCGCTCCTGGGGAAAAAAACAGAATCCATCAGCCCGGTGGCAGGTGGGCGGCCGCGGCGAGGGGCCTGGGCCGGGACCACCTGATCCTCTTGCAAAACGTGCAAGCTTAAGTCTGTCAACAGAGACAACTTCCTGCCGACCGCCAAAGTCCAAAATGAAATGTTTGTTGCCTGGTTTAAGAACCCTGTATGGCCCGTCATATGGTGGACGCAGCGGAGTCCTATGGGCATCGTGCCCGACGAAAACGAAATGAGCAGAGTCCAATGAACTCGGAACAAATGTGTCAGGCAGGCAGTGGTGCACAGGACCAGGAACAGGAAATGAGTCTCTTGGGGGGTGAAAAGGCAACAAAGAGGTATCGAAACATGGGGGGGGGGCTCTCAGGTAAGAATTCCCCGGGGACCCGGAGAGGCTGGCCGAGGACCAGTTCAGCTGGGGAAGCCCCGAGTTCTTCTTTAACGCAATCCCAGCAAAACCCAGCAAAACCCACGGAAGATGGTCGACCCAGTCGCCACTTGTTAAGGAAGCACGGAGCGCGGCCTTAAGTGACCGGTGAAACCGTTCGCACATCCCATTAGCTTGAGGGTGGTATGCTGTGGTGCGGTGGACCTTGACTCCCAGGCTGTCAGCCATAGCAGACCAAAGCTCGGAAACAAACTGGGGGCCCCTGTCCGAGGTAATGTCAGCAGGGGGGCCGAAACGTGAAACCCACGTTGACAAAAATGCCCTGGCCACCATCGCCGCTGCCGTGGACGCCAGGGGTACCACCTCCGGCCACCTGGTTGTGCGGTCCACCACAGTCAAAAGGTGCGTGAAACCCTGTAACTGCGGCAAGGGACCAACCAGGTCCACATGAACGTGATCGAAACGCCTACCCGGGACACGGAAAGGTTCGAGGGGTGCCTGTGTGTGCCGGTGGATTTTTGAGCGTTGGCATGGGACACAAACCGCCGCCCATCCTTTCACCGTCTTGCGAAGGCCCGGCCAAACAAACCTGGCGCTGACCAGCTTGACCGAGGCCCGGACGCCGGGATGAGAGAGGGCATGCACCGAGTCAAAACCACGACGACGCCACGAAAGGGGAACCACCGGGCGGGGGCGGCCGACATACCGATGCCGACATACACCGGAGAAACCAACATGTGTGAGAGACAGTCAGCGACGTGATTGGACTTACCAGCCACATGCTGAATGTCTGTGGTAAACTCAGAAATGGCCGCCAACTGGCGCTGCTGGCGTGCGCTTCATGGGTCAGAGACCTTGGACATCGCAAACGTCAAAGGTTTGTGGTCAACGTACGCAGTAAAGTTGCGATCCTCGAGGAAAAAACGAAAATGTCGTGTGCAGGGCCAGCAACTCCCTGTCAAAAACACTGTACTTGCGTTCAGCATCCCGGAGCGTTCAACTGAAAAAGACAAGTGGTTGCCAGAGACCTGAAACCCGCTGTTCCAACACCCCACCCACTGCCACGTCAGAGGCGTCGGTGGTCAACACGATTTCCGCCGACGGAAGCGGGTGGGCCAGCAGGGCGGCGTCAGCCAGCGCAGACTTGGCTGCGGAAAACGCACGGACGCGTTCTGGCAGCCAGTCAACCGGATCTTTGGCTGTTTTACCTTTTAAGGCAGCATAGAGTGGCTGTAGCAGGTGGGCAGCTCTGGGGAGAAAGCGGTTGTAAAAATTTATCATCCCCAAGAACTCCTGCAACGCTTTAACCGACGTGGGACGCGGGAAAGCCGAAACAGCCTGGACTCTGTCGGGCAACGGAACCACACCTTCAGCGGAAATGTGGTGCCCGAGGAAATCCAGAACAGGCAACCCAAACTGGCACTTGGAAGGGTTGATGATCAGGCCGTGCGCTGCCAAACGCTGGAAAACCTGGCGCAGATGGGACTTGTGCTGGCTCGCTGAGCAGCTGGCCACCAATATATCGTCCAGATAAACAAAAACAAACAGCAGCCCACGCAAAACGGAGTCCATCAGCCGCTGAAACGTCTGGGCGGCACCTTTCAGGCCAAACGGCATGCGCAAAAACTCGAACAAGCCGAACGGGAACCTGGTGATACCCCCGCACCAAGTCAATTTTAGAAAAAATCGACGTTCCGGCGAGAATGGCAAAAAAATCCTGAATGTGGGGGATGGGATAACGGTCATTCTCCATGGCATTATTTAAACGGCGGAAATCTCCGCATGGCCGCCAACGACCGTCCTATTTGGGCACCATGTGAAGCGGAGAGGCCCATGCACTGTTCGAACGCTGTACAATGCCAAGGCGCTCCATGGCTGCAAACTCTTCCCGAGCGACGGACAGTTTCGCGGGGTTGAGGCGGCGCGCGTGCGAACACCGGGGGCCTGACCGTGGGAATATAATGCTCAACCCCATGCTTCGTTACCGTGCTAGAGAAATTAGGGACAGACAGCGATGGGAACTCTAAAAGCAAACGCTGAAAAGCATCCCTGGAGGTCACTACATTAGCCCGAATCAGGGGCTCAGCGGCCCGAGTAAAACAGGGTAGCGAAGAAAACGAGAGAGCATCGATTAAACGCCTGTTAGCAACATCGACAAGTAGTCCATGAGCACACAGGAAATCAGCACCCCAAATAGGTACAGAGCTAGCGGCAACAACAAAGTTCCACTGGAAATCCCGGCCATGAAGACAAACAGTCACCAACCTTTCCCCAAACATTTTGATGGGAGAGCCATTAGCTGCAATGAGCTGCGTCCCACAGTTCGCTGCTAGTCCGTCGGCAGCGGTAGGGGGAAGGAGGCTCTTCTGGGAGCCGGAGTCCACGAGAAAACGTCTCCCGGAGCGCGAGTCCTCTATGAAGAGCAGCCTTTCTGTATTGCGAGCGGTCGCGGCTGCTACGGCGCGCTGGCGGGTCCATTTCCCTGGGCCCTGAAAGCGCAAGGCGGCAGGCAGCGACGCGCTCTGTCGCCAAAACGCTGATGGTAGAAACAGATGCTCTTTCCGCAGTGCCGGCGTGTAGCAATCCCTGCCGTCAGCAAGGGGGCAGATGCTCCGGGGGAGGCAGGTGGAGGCGTGGAAGGTGCCGCTGGCGTGTCCGTAGCCAGGGCGTGAACGTCGAAAGTGCGGCCAGCCAGGAGAATGCGATCCGCTTCTTCAGCCAGGGAGCGATAATCCTTCGCAGGCAGAAGCGGAGAGTTCGTGAGGACAGCTCTCACGGCGGCCGGTAGTTGGCGGAGGAAGAGGTGCACGAAGAGGAAACCACTGTCATCCGGCCCGAGCAACGATAGCATGTTCTCCATGAGCTCGAGCACGGTAACACCACCCAAGCCTGACAGGTTGAGGAGCTTTTCGGCTCGTTCGGCGTCGGAGAGGGCATAGCGCCGAAGAAGCAGGTCTTTGAGGGCGGCGTATTTCCCTTGGGCGGGTGGGTCCCGGAGGAGCGCCATCGCGCGACGGGTGGCCAGCGGGTCGAGCGAGGCCACCACATGGTGATACTTCGTGTCGTCAGCCGAGATGCCGCAAAGGGCGAACTGAGCCTCCACGTGTACAAACCATGACGGGGGGTCATGGAGCCAAAAGTCCGGCAGTTTCAGCGCCACAGCGAACGTAGCTGCAACAGGAGGCGGAGGTCCGGCGGCCGCTGATGCATCCATAGCGGAGTCTGCGTTATCTACGGCCCGTTGCATGCTCGAGTCAGGGGTCACCAATGTGGAGGTAAGCATCAACGACACAGAGCTCTCAGTTCTCACTCCTTCTTTATTTGTCTCCAACATCAACTGTGCATATCGCGCCACAAAACACAGGAACACACTTCCTATACACTGGGTGTGAGTGGAGCCCTCTAGTGGTCCACCACAGTTTCATGTATTTTCGGTCCGTGTCTTTTAGTAGTGTTTCATGTTTCCTGTTTTATTGTGAAAGTCTTTGTCTTAGGTTAGTGTGTGCAGCTTTGTTTCCCCCTGTCTCGTTAGCCCTGATCTCTCCCAGCTGTGTCTCCCTCCTGTTGCCCATTCCCTCATTACTACCCTGTGTACATAAGCCCTGTGTTTTCCCATGCTCTGTGTCGTTTTGTACCCTCAGACCCTGCCTGTGTGTTCCAGTTAGTGTTTTCATGTTTGATTTCTGTTTTGTTGGCGCCAGCAATAAAGCTGTGGTTTTCAGTTATATTTCCGTCTCAGAGTCCTGCACTTGGATCCACATCTCCACCTCCCCGCACACAGAGCCCTGACACATACCCGCTGCTTCACAATCAACTGAAAACCACCTGATGAAGCCAACATAGGCTGCAAAAGCAGAGATGAGATTCTAAGACCAACAAAATGGAAGTTTACCGCCACCCGACTAAACCCACAAATTCTTTCCATTAAAACTACAAATATAATCATTGACAAAGGGTTTGCCTGGCAGAGTCCTACATGCGACGGGAATGAGTTTAAAGAGGCATTTTGGACTAAACTGCTGCAATGGTTATGCAGGGAACTGCTTTGTACCTCCTGTTGACAAACACACATTCACCAGCTGGGCTCACGTCCTCATTTTAGGTTTGACAGCGTTTTAGTAGATAAAGGTGAACTGCCTGGATGTGAATTGTGCTGTAGTTTGGGGAAGGCCTCGAAAGGGAATGGCAGCAGCTCCTAGCAGATCCCATCTTTCAAACCATCTGTCTTCTCTGTCCAAAATGTGAACATTGGCATCCTCAAATGAGCGACCTTTGTCTTTTAGATGCAGATGGACCGCTAAGTGAACAAAGCCATCTATGTCCACTGTGAAAGACCATCTTTGAACAGAGGTGGTGGCTTACGACACCAACTGTCTGCCATTTATAATCCAGTCTTGAGATCCCTTCCCAGACGCCTTAACGCCCACTCACAGCCTGGGTAATCTGACCTCAGGAAATCACATCATAGGGTGGGGCCAGGTTTCCCAATGAGCTCACCTGAAATCTTGGCTGATTGTGACCCACACCCGTTTTCACACCTTGGCTCGTGTGATTAGGATCATTAGGAGGTCCATTGTCCCTCTTGGGGGACACTGCGAAAGGGCTTAAATCTGGGATTCTCCACCATTTGACCCTAGAACTGAAGAAGCTTCTTCAGGATGAGAGGCGAAACGTCTTGTAGCAACTTAAAGAAGTCCAGACACTTTTCTTTCCAGGCTCCTTAGACCATAATACCAAAAAGTCAAAACTTTAAAAGTGAACTTCAATCCATTTATGTGATAGAAGCTATATTTATCTTTTATATACAGCTAGTCTTCAAAACCCTAAAGACCAGATAAACACATATCTTAAATGTGGTGTAAAGAAGCAGTAAAATGGTACAAATATGGTAATTAACCATACTAGCATAACAACAAACTAGCATAACAGCTAAAATGCTTGTGCTGCAGCAAAATGTCCAGAAACCAATAAGTGATGTCATAGTGGCTATGTGCAGGTTCCGTATAGGCATCTTCTTACCCTTTCTTTTTTGTTTTTGCTTTATTTAGTATTTTCACAAATAAATCAGAAGTTTTTATATTGTTATTTATACAATTATTGTTCAAAAGTCCATTTTCAATGATAAAGAAAATTATGATGATTTAGTAGAGTATTTCCCGTGTGGCATGCATGCTGCTGTCATGCTGACATCACACACAACACACCAAACACACGGGGTGGGGTCACGTGTCACCTGCCATCTGTCAATCACCCTCACCCACAACACCCCCTCTAAAAAACCCAATGCATTCAACATAGTGGTATTTCTTTCTCTCTCAGCTTAAACACCATATTCTTCCCCACTTCTATGATGTGTCATTGTTAAAAGCTAAACATACAGTTTTATAAACATACCATGAGCAGCAGCCAGATGAAAGAACAGGAGTCCCAGGGACAGACGTATACACCAGAACATGGTCCTAGATGTTTATGAGATCAGCCTGGAAAACCCTCTGTGTTGAGTGGAGTAATGGAGTCTGAATGTAGAGATAAGATAGCCGAGAGGAGGGGAGGTGTAGAGGGTAACGACCTCTATGGAGAGGGAGGGGGACGGAGTGTTTAAACTGACTGATTGGGCTAGTTGGGTTTTAACTGAGTCATCAAAACTTCAAGGGAGAACTGCAAGTCCCAGATAGCACTGCTGAAAGTAAAATCCTCCAATCATGGAGGTTGCCCCTCTGGCAACCACGCCAAAGAATGTTTAGTATGACTTCCAGCATGAAATTTATCATGACACAGCCAATCAGATTTTAAAGAGCTCCTGTTATGCTTATGCCCAGTTTTTGTATGTTTTTTTATGGGACTAGATAATACATAATGGATAACACAAAGCTATCATTATCCTCACTACATGTGCGCTTTCCTCTAATTGGCTAACTACTGGAAGCAAATAGATGGGCAGGAAGGAGTCATTGTCAGCTGCATAGTCTGTAGTAAGTGGAGTTGCTGTGCCTATAATAAATAAACATATAAGGAGCACCAAAGTTTCACATGTGAGTACTTTATAATTTAGTGCTTTGGTTTGTGGCTTGATCTCCAAACTGTATGTCAACACATCCTTAGCAAGATACTTAACCCCAGTTGGCCCCAGATCCATCAGACCCCATCCATCAGAGTGTGAATGCATGAATTTCAGTCCTTAGGCATAGTAAAAAGCAATTGTGTGAATGTAGCAGTAACAAAGTGCTTTGAGTACTCAAATTGAGCAAAAAAAAAAAAGTACCAGTCAAGTCAAGCACCAACATGGTTGAAAAAGACTTTGCTGTGAACAGGATCAGGCCAGGTCAAAGGTTTTAGTCTGTTGAACCTTAACCGTCTGTGAAGGTTCTCATTCATCCAGGTCATCATAGTCTAAGGAGCTTGCAAAGAAAAGTGTCTGGACTTCTTTAAGTTGCTTGAAGACATTTCACCTCTCATCCTGAAGAAGCTTCTCGGATGAGAGGTGAGATGTCTTCAAGCAACTTAAAGTCCAGACACTTTTCTTTGCAAGCTCCTTAGACTTGAACCTTAACCCTTGCTGTACTGACCGTCATGGATATATGAAATACAGAAAAAGGCAATGGCATCATCAGAACAGCTGCTCGGGTGGTGCTGTCTACATCCAAAGGTCTTCCAAAATCCAGTATTAAAAAGTTGAAGCTTTTTTGACAACATAAAAGACTGGATCAGTGCACGTCATAGAGGACACAACAGGAGGTCTCATAAAGACCCAGCTTTAAGACTATATCCACATCTGTACACCAACACCAAAATGCTGTTTCTTTGGAGTAAGCCAAAAAAATTTTGGAGTATTGTGTGGACTCCTGTCCCAATGGGTGAAGTGGTTGTTTATCTATTGCAAAATGAGACAGTCAAGCTGCACGTGCTGCTTTTCATGAAACACAGAAAGGAGAGAAGACAAGAGAACCAACAGATTGTCAGAGATAAAAACAAGAGAAGCTGGTGAACTGTGAGCTGTCATGCTAATCATTATACTCTGGAAGTAAAGTAGTATCTGTTGCAGCTGTTGAGCTCTGTTCCCCTACTATGTGTAGTTACATTTCTGGTAAGAGCAAGTATAAGCAACTACGTGAGGTGTAAAACTATGTTGTAGATTTAACCAAGGATTTATAAAACATAAGGGGATTCATAGGGAAGCAAGTTGTCAGCCACAAGGTAGCCATGCTGGTAAATCCTTCATTCAGAAAGTCACGAAACTAGAGACCAATACCATAAACTCAACAGGAAAGTGCACACTGAGCTCAGAAGATAAGTGATCCGCAGGCTCGTGTTCTTGTGTTCTTATAGACTTCCATACTGTCAGAACCTGAGGGGTTGTTTACTGCTGGTCATTAGAAAAAATGCAGGTTTATTTTGTCGTAATCATCAACAGTCTGGATCATTAAATTCCTTGCAGTCAACAGGGAACACTGAATAGTATGAAAGACAAAATTTTAATAAAAGGCACAAAATATCTTGTCTGTTTTTGCATAACTCATCTGCCCAGTTCACTATGATTAACCTTTAATAAGCAATTGTCAGCAAGTAAGGTTGGTAGCTTAGTCTGGTTTTGAGTGTTTGAGAAGTTAAAGATATTTTCCAAAGGATGAGCTCAAAGCTGCATTATTGGCTTCTCTGGATATCTTTAATATCTAGCTCACATGTGAACCACATTTATAAACAAGGTTTGACTCTAATAGGAACTCGGAGGGCACCGTGTCTATGGTCAGAGCCTAGTAGAAAACCCATCAACAGATAAATCCAGAACCTGGCAGCAGTATGCAAGGAAATTAAGTTTTAGACATTAAATCATGAAAAACAAGACACTTATTACACTTTTGTAAAAGTTTGTGCAGCTTCCTCACACACTCAGGCCTGAAGAATTTGTTTCACCTCACTTTTAGATGGGGTACAGTAAATGAGGAGATTTCTTTTAAAACTCTGACTCAGTGCGGAGGTTGTTGAATGGCAGCCAATCAGCTCAGCGCTCTTAGTGGGGCGAGTATTGGATGTCCACAGTCCAAACTAACGTGTATTGACTCTGCAGCTTAGAAAAACAAATGTTCAGTTATTACTGGGATTAAAGGGCTTTTAAAACACAATACCATGATCATCTGGAATGCAGCTGGAGAAGGTGGACACATGATAACAGAAAGGCATGTTAAGAGTTTATATTACCCACAAAGATGAGCCACAGAGTTCTTTGACAATAACATTTATTCTGCTTCTCTCCATTTTTTAACATTTTCAAGAAAACCATATGGAAATACTTCACTTTTAACATTTCAGCCAAACAAACCAGACAAGACCAGGAAGATCAATGAAAGCATTTTAGTGATAACGTTTCAAATTTTTCAGAAAAGAAATAAACAACAAAGAAAAATAAATCTCCTAATTTCTTTTCTGTTCCACCATTATGAGAGAATGTGACGGTGACGATGGTGGATTTTTCATGGTCTTCTCCACCCACTCCACAAAATTGGCCATGTTGGTATACACCGCAAAATACCCAGCCCCACAACCACGTCCCCAGCCAACCACACCAGTCAGAAAGTGGGTGGAGCCAAACAGCGACACCAGTGGGCTGCCATCATCTCCACGGCAACTCTCCTGGCGTCCTTCCAGATATCCGGCGCACAGCATGTTTTCAGTGAGGTTGAACTTGGCTCTCAGGGAGCACATGGAGTTCTGGAGGATGGGGACTGGCATCATGCGGAGGACAGGGGAAACCAGGGCACCTAGAGTCTTACCATTGCCCCCTGTTGTCCTCTTGCCCCAGCCAGACACAGTGTGGTAACGTTGTAGCAACAGCTCCCGCGTTGCAAAATCTTTAGTGGGCAGGCAGATAGGGATGATGTGTTGGCTCAAGTTGACAGCATGGCTCAACTGCAGCAAGGCAATGTCACTGTCACCCGTCGCTGAGACGTAACTATCATGGGCAATTGCCAAAGAAACAGGTATCTCCTGTTCTGTGCCTTCTTCCACATCCAAATTATATTCCCCTGGTGACACAGACCAGAGTTAGAGAAAGCCAAGTTTTACAAAATAACCAATAAATAAATAAATAAATAAATCCTATAATTAAAAAAATATTAGGAAAAAAAGGATCAAAAAACAACTTTACAAAAACCCATACCAAATAATTTCCACAAAACTTAATGATGGGAAACACATTGTAAAAAATAAATGAGTGCAAACCCCTTTAGAAAATAATTGATAGTGAAATTATGAACTAACGTACAAGATTTATTAGATCAAATCATTTTTAAAATAATTAACAAAAGTACACAATAAAAAACTCTAAAAACTACAAACAACTAAAAAAATATATTTTTCAAGACAATAACCAATATTTTCATCTCAATTCAACAAATTAATGAAAGTAAAAGCTAACTTTAAAAGAATAACATTTAGATGTTAAATTAATGTATCAAAATACTCCATATGGAAAAGATATATATAAATCGTACAAAGTTTGTATCTGTTGTGTGAAACTTGTATGAAAAGCATACAAGAGTGAAAACAGATATAAGATCCCTTGAAAAAGTATATAAATGAAACTTGTATGTTTTGGATACTTACTAAAACAATACAAGAAAGTAAAGAGAAAGTGACCACTTTCATGAGTACATCACGTAAGCCTTATATGATTCACTATATGAAGCAAGCTAAAGCTGATGCAAGTCTTTGCATCAAGTTTTTCCTATTTCTTCCCCAATAGGGGCAAAATAGTTTTATAAGTATGGTTTGCAAAGTAGCACATTAACGCCATTGCAATATCAATTTTTACTTTTAGAAATAATGTCACAGGCAATTAAAGGCAGTGACAAATAACTTTAAAAGCCAATTTGATAACTTAAAACAAGTTAATGATATTTAAATTTTACATTTTATTAGAAACTGGTCTGATATGTTAGCGATGCAAATGAGTTTACCTGCTACCACAGTCAGGTTTTGGGGGTCATGGCCATGGATGCAATGTGCAGCAGTGATGACCCACTTTGGATGGATGAGAACACCTCCACAGTGAGCTTTTGCATTTAACTGAACCAGAACCTAATAAAAAAACAAGGTTACATTAACTATAAGATAGAAACTATTTCCCAGGATAAAAATCAAACCTGAGACTAAAAACAATATTTATTTTCATATATCATTTGTGTATTATTGTAATTTATTGCATTAATGTATCATTTAAACTATGTTATGCTTTTCTACCATACCCACTTGACTGTGGTTCAAAAATTTGGTTAGTCTCTACTGAACATGTAAATTTGTCCAGGTTTACAGCAGAAATAAACAGAGGAAATGTTTACAGCATTTACATATTTTCTTTTCAAAAACTGTACAGGGTGTTTTTAAAGATAAGCAGTGTTGGGACTAACGCGTTATTAAGTAACGCGTTACAGTAACTACGTTATTATTGTGGTAACGAGCACGGTAACTAGTTATTATGCCAAAACCAGGAACGCGTTACTCGTTACTGGGATTTAAATA